ATCTCATTAATGTTTGCATATAACTCCTTTTGAATTTAATTATTATGTAGTTATTCTGTCAACGTCAGACTATGTAGTTATTTTGTAAAATTTTTGTAGATAACTTACAAGAATCATTGTTCACTAATAACTTGTGATATAGATAATTAAGTAGTTGTGTACTATAGATATAAATCATTCATAATCCAATCAAGTTATGAAAGTCTGAACTTAATACACTAGTAATTAAACAAAATAAATTCAAACCAACTACACTAAGAGTTGAAAATATTTCATTATATGAAACAGTCTTTACTCAATTTATCAATACAATTACACCTCAACTATAATTCTCCTGAACACCTCAACAATATTTATCAAAACATATGTTGACTATATCAAATTTTATTTCTTTTTGGGAGCATTCTTCCAAGATCTTTTGTTATACCCTTCTATTCCACAGTTGCCACATGAAACCTTGTACTTCTTTGTATTTACTTCATCATGTGTTTTGTATTTTATTTTGAGATCTTCTTGACTGTCTTTTTTTGGTAGGTGGATTTACAACTTCTTCAGAGATATATTGTGGCACATTTCATTTGCTTTCATCAGGCAGCGAGTCTACTGGTATTTCATAAATATGCAAGAGGCTCTCCCTCGTGTAATAAGGAGAACAATATTTTTCATAAGACTCATCCATATGCCTTAAAACAACCAAAATATGTGTACAAGCAAGTTCATCAAGCTGGAATTGTCCACAACTACATCTCTTGTTTTCAAGACAAACAATATAGCGCCTCACATCATCTAGCACTGTATGGATGTAATCTGTTGAAGCTCTCACCTATAATTACATTACAAACACACAGCAAATTATCAGCAACATATACAAAATAACTACAATTATCGAACAATTTATCTACAATATCTATTAATATTTTAGTTTGATGCAATAATTGATAAGATGTTATTGGATATAGCTTACTTTAAGCTTCTGCGATAATGTTCTGTTGTCCTCCAACTCTTTGTTGGATTTAAACCCAAGGTATGTGAATGTACCATTTGCTTTCAATAAGTTTTCATTAGTCCAATGTTCAAGAGAGTCCTCATATGCTCTAATAGTTCTACTATCGGCAGCTTTCTTGCATCTTTTGTTACCACATTCAATGACTCTCCAATGTTTGATGTCATAGTCCAAGTTCTGTTTACCGTAGCATGTACTCGAGACCATCTGTGATAGCCAATATCGTATAAGTATGCTTTAACACGTGTGTCGATCTCTTCAATCTTTGACATTCTTTCATTAAATTCATCAAGCATGTATGATCATGTCATGGCAAAGTACAATTCGCTTAACTTTAGATGACCTTTCTTTAACTTTGACCTTATATTTGTCCAAATATGCCACATGCAAGAATAATGTGGCATGCCGGTATAAACAATAGATGTTGCCTTCAAGATACTCTCATTCCGATCAGAAACAACACACATATTTGGTCTTTCACCATATGCATGTTTAAATTGCTCAAAAACCACTTCCATGATGCCTCATTTTCTGAATCAACAACAACATATGGCAGTGATAATATGCTACCTATCATATGTGGCAAAAAGGAATTCAATTTCCATCATAAAACTGTAGCTAAATAAAAATACATACAAACAACAAATTTTCTACAATATATCCACAATAAATCTACAATACCTGCTGCATCCATTATGCTAGCTGTTAGCATTATTCCCATGTATGCTGACTTCAAGAAGGTCCCATCAACTACTATAACTGGCCTACAATATTTCCAACCATTGATTGACGTGCTAATCACAACAAATGCATATAAGAAACAGTCATCGTCGGTCTTCTTCAATTTAACTACCGACCCCGGATAAGTCTTCTCCAGAATATACAAATAACTAGGCAATCGACTGTAGGAGTCAACAGGATGATCTCTCAAAAATTCCAAAGCCTTTTCCTTTGATATCCAAGCTTGCATGTATGTTAAGTTCACGCCGTGTACAGGCAACATATCAATTTGTATGTTTTTTGTTGTGTAAACTGTCTTAGGATCAACATATTTTGGTATAACCATGCTACCCACTACCATAGAAGTAGATTTGCATTGTATGTAGGTATTGTCCATCAAAGAGCATGTGTGCAAGCTGTTGAGTTTCCTAATCTTGAACATTGCTGAATCATTTATGCTGGTGGACTTGAAGTGCCATGTACAATCTTCCCCAACACATACCAGGCAGTAGCTACAGAATAAAAATAATTTAAACAATGGTATGAAAAATATACATACACAAAAAATAAGTTGTTTAATCATGAAAATCTTATATTTAACAATTTATATACAAAAAAACTACAAATTATCTACAATTTGTATACAAAGATATTACAAATGCAGAAGAACAAAAAAATATAAATAACTACAAATTAAACAAAGACATGATATTTGACCATTGAACTGTTCTTACCTTCTAACTAGACCTTTTCACCCTAAATTGGAATTTGTTCATGACAGAATAGTACTTCATTGCACTAGCAATTGTTTGCTTGTCTTTGTATACTTGACCTACTTCAATAACAGTTGGTGTATTTTCTGTATGGTTATACTTTCATATTCCACTATCGTCGGAGATGTTGGCATATCAATCAACTTCAGTGTTCCAGATGAACCTGCAATCAATTAAAGCTAAATACAATTATGACATATAATTATAGATATTTTGTAGTATAATTGTAGAACAATGAAATTCAAGACTTACATATTCATAACAATTGATATACACATGTTATGTAGTTTTTATTTAGAAATATTGTAGAACAAATGAAATTCAATACTTATTTTGATATACACATGTTATGTAGTTGTTTTGTCGAAATATTGTAGAAAAATTATAGAACACAAGAGATATAAACAAATTTCACCACTGGTATAAGAGATCAAACCTGCAATTGCGTTCGAAATAGACATACTACATACCAAATTAAAATCCCGCACTGTTATACATAGCTGATACATTCCTAAGCTCATGTTTTCCTTTTTCGTCTCCATATATTGAACTCCCATATCGTTCCTAATTTCTATTGGCGGATAATTTTCATTGGCAATGTATTTGATTTCGATTATTTTTCTGATGTATCAATTATTTGATGCTCTGTAATTGTAGAAATCAATTGGTTATAAGTTGCATTTTCGCTGATTACAATCCCATCGATATGAAAATCCCTGTATCTCCCAAAGCTATACAATTACCATTTAGCTGAAGCATAATAGTTATTTTCGACATTATTGGGTATGACTCAGTATAATTGTAGATAATTGATTCGATTTTGCTTGTGAAACCAGAATATACAGTGAAAAACAGAGTATTCGAAAAACAGAGTATCGAAATTGTGAGAGAAAAGAAATAATTTCAGGCTTAATAAATGGCGACTAATACTTTTCAAAAAATCTCGGTAGAATCCTTTACTATCCCAAATTCTCTCTCCTAAAAAAGGAATGTTATAGCATAAAGGATTCCTTTTTAAATGATTTGTATAGATTCTGTAGGAAAAACGTGTCAAGGTCGGATAATATTGAAAGCAGAGACATTTTTTATAATAAAGTTTCATATAGTGTATAAGAATGAAATTTTCCCTTTAGCAAACCAGCCAGTTCTAAGTAAAAATTTAATCAATTCTAACTGTGAACACCCCTAACATTGTGATTTGCCTTGGAATTGGGACATTTGACCCTTTTCTTTGTCTTTACAGTGGATCAAGGCCCAAACAAATAGTTCACACTACTACCATCGTAAAAGCTTAAGGGATCTTTACACAAATAGCCGATCGATTTTACTGTTTACTTTTTCTGACTGGTATACATTATTTATACATGATTATACATGTATTATACATATATTATATATTTTTTGGCTAGTTTTAATTTAAATAATTGAGTGGACTACTATTTAGGTTAGTTGTTCAAAGATTAATGTGGCAGCCTATGTGGATGCTCCTATTTAACCTATCGCAAGCATTTCCAAAAAATATAATTGGAAGATGGTGTAAGTAACTTCAGATAAAACTGCTTGAATTTTAAATTTTGTATGTTGAATTTTTAAAAAATAAGTGGCTCTTGAGTTTTGAATATGAAAATAAATCAAGTGAGTGTTGTAGAAAAATTGGTAGTTTAATAAACTTCAGAAAAACCGATAATGAAGGCCAAAATTCGAGTGTGATTATCAGACTTTTCGCCTTGGCATGCCAAATTCAGGCGTGAAAGTCAAAAAATTGGCCTCAGTAAATCATACTTCATGTGCATATGTTTGAAGTTTGGCTTGTCAAAGCCAAATTTTATGCGCATATGGCAGAAATTTACTTGCACAATTAATATGCCAAACATCAGATAAAATTTCGAATACGAATTTTTGCAACCACGGTTGCACATGTCGGATGTTTTTTTTCAAAGTGACTAAACTTGCAAAGATTAATAAATATCGGCTAAATAGCCCTCAAGATGGATGGTCTTGAATTATTGTACGCACTAGCCCATGGGCAGAATTTTAAGTTTAACAAGTATTGCCTCAGAGAAAACCCTTCGCTTGCCTCATAGAAAACACTTTTAACTTTTGATCTTGAGATTCTGCACATGGAGTAAGCAGGGGTAAAAAAATAATTAAAGGACGCTCAAAAAAGTGTCATATTTATGTAATTTTTTGTTAAATGATAAATCGCCTATTTGTGCACTTATCCTAGTAGCATCCACACATTTGAACGGGAAGAATTAACCTAAATAGCCGCCGACCCAAGTGATTAAATTAAAATAGCAGGAGGATGTACAATATATATATATATATATATATATATATATAATTTATGTATAATCGTGTATAATCAATATACAATCTATGTATACTGGTTAGAAGAGTAAACTGTGAATCCAACCGGCTATTTGTGTAAAGATCCTTTTGGACTGCCCACTATCCAGTACTAATTGGGCCCAGAGATGACAATTCCAGCTTCAGCCCAATGAAACACAACCCGTCCAAAACACTAGGGTTTTGAAGGTTTCGTCCTTCGTATAAAGTGCCGGAGTATCACTAATCTTCAAAGCTAGCAGCTGGTAGCGAAGCTCCACTCGTTCTGCTCGGTGACCTCGTCGTCGTTGTCGTGGTAAGTCTCAACCCCTATGTTTAGATCTAAACCTTAAACTCTGTATCGGTTTCAATCATTTGCTAACTTAGGTTCTGCTATATTGTGCTTTTGCATATGCAATTTTTTAATGATCTCTAATTTTCTCTTTAAGATATACATTTTGATGTAAATGTTTGACTGATTTTTTGTATCCTCTCTAAGATTTTTCTGTTCTTTTGAATACGCACGTTATATACCTTGTGTTGGGCAATGTAGTTTAAGTCATGAAGCATAACAATGTTATTCCGAATGGACACTTCAAGAAGCACTGGCAGAACTATGTGAAGACCTGGTTCAATCAGCCAGCACGCAAGACCAGGAGAAGAATTGGTACTTATTTGATAAATTATACTAATATTGTTTTAACTCAAATAGTTTGCTGACCATCTTCCAATTGCAGCAAGGCAAAAGAAGGCTGTGAAGATTTTCCCCAGACCAACTGCTGGAACTCTTCGCCCTATTGTCCATGGTCAGACACTCAAATACAACATGAAAGTTAGGTCTGGTAGAGGATTCTCCCTTGAGGAGCTCAAGGTTTGTTAATCGACTTTTTATGGCTTCGTCTTCCTTAAAATTAACTGGGAGATGAGCCTATTCTTGTGCAGATTCTGAGTACTGATTTTACTCATTACTATCTGACTGCAGCGTCTTAAAGCTATACATCTATAATTGATGCAAATCCAATTGCATCTGTGTCAGTTGTTCCATTAATAGCTTTAATCATGCTCGAATAAGAAAGCAATTTGCCTGGGACGGAATCTATATATTTTGGGTTTGGATTGGGGGATCAATTTATGTCCACCCACTATTAAAATTAGAATTTTAATTACATTTAAGTTTAAGAGGGGTATGTTAATCACTTGCTATTAATTAGAATTTTAGCCCCTTTGGTGGTGTCAGGATTTTAGGATTTGCATACTTTCTTCTTTGTGAGCTCATTTACAGTGCATTTTAAAAAGCAAATGAAAACTTAATTATTGGTGAAGCAGCTGGCAAGTTTTTTCAGTGCTGATTATTATTATTGTCATTCTAATGTTATTTGGGGGTTACACTGACAATTGAGAACATAATACAGAATGATTTAACTTTGCTGATTAATTCAATCCATGTTTGTCTGATTGTTATATGAATTGCTTCTAGGCTGCAGGTATCCCTAAGAAACTGGCTCCAACAATTGGTATTGCTGTCGATCATCGTCGCAGGAATCGGTCACTTGAGGGGCTTCAAACTAATGTTCAAAGGTTAAAGACCTACAAGGCCAAATTAGTCGTCTTCCCAAGACGTGCTCGCAAGGTCAAGGTAAGATGCGTAGTTTCTGGTAACTGGAAACATAAATGTGTGTATGGCTTCTTCTAAGAGGTGCTTTTTCTTTGTTTGTTTCCTAATTGATGCAACTCCCTTCAGGCTGGTGATTCTGCCCCCGAGGAATTGGCTACGGCAACACAAGTCCATGGTGCTTACATGCCTATTGCACGTGAGAAGCCATCAGTTGATCTTGTCAAGGTTACTGAAGAGATGAAGTCGTTCAATGCCTATGGCAAGCTACGTGTGGAGCGGACGAACGAGCGTCACATTGGTGCAAGGATGAAGAGGGCTGCAGAGGCTGAGAAGGAGGAAAAGAAGTAGTGAGGTTTATCTTGGTTGATTTACTTGTCCCATCTTTTTGAGTCCTATTTAGTTAATCCTTGCATTTGCTTTGAACTTTTTAGCTATAGCATTCAATGTCAGCTGAGTATCAATTTCAACACTGGTTACTTTGTTGATGAGATTTTAAGAATGTTTAAAATTATTTTCTTGGTGCTGACCTAATTTGGAGTGCAAGGAAGAGTTACCCCTACCCCCACTGGGTTTATTTAATGGTGAGTGGGAGGAGTGGCAGTAGGTGGTTTGTGTTGATGGTTATATTCAGCTGAATAATATCCTCAGGATTGAAAGATATGTGATTATTCTGTGAATGTGTAAAGACCGATTACTAGAATGAAGAAAGACTGGAAGGTACAAGAGACGATGTTCAAGAGTCAAGACCATTACACCAACTTTTAAAAGTGCCAAGCTAGTAATAACAATGGTAAAATCTTGATTGATGGTCAAAGTTACTTGTGTAATTTAGAAAGGCGTAGTTGTGGTGCGATGTTTAGTCCATATATATTTGGTTAAAACATTAAAAAAATAAATTTTTGAAGTTGTGCTGAAAAATAATATTTGGAAGTTAAAGTTGTTTTTGGATATGCATTTTACTTGGAAAATAATTTGAAGTTTCGTGAGTGAAAGAAAAGATTTGCACCCAAAAGTTGGTTTTTAATTTATATACATTATAAAGTGGTACAAATTCTGGGAAGAACCAACATTCCAGATTCAATATGGGACGATTTAATATTTTTTCATTCATTCCCATCCAATCAAAAAAGTTTTTTTCCGAATTTTTTTGATTGTTTTCTGGATTTTGATGAATCGTAAGATAAAAAAGGCCTTTTTATCAATTTTACATTCGCTTTCGAAATAATAGTTGATTTATATATATATATATATATATATATATATATACTTGATGTATCAAATTCCATGAATAAATAATATTTTCAAACTTTTTTATTCAAAAAAAAGTAATTTTTTTATATAATTTGCTGTTCTTTCGTTTCTGCCAGGAGAGAACATTGTGTTTAGAGCCGTAGCTTTTGATCTAATATGAACATAAAAATTATACGGGGCGCCCATTTAATTTATACCCATAATTTTAAAAAATTTTAACTTATACCCTAACTTTTACAACTTCAGGCGCCTCCTTCTTCACAAAAACTCCAAATATTTTTCACCATTCCTGCAAACTTTCCTCTTTGCTCTTTGCTGTGAACTGTTCTCCGTTCTGCTCATCACTTATAAGCAGCATTTGATTCTTTAGCAAAAGAAAATAGTAGGGGTGTACATAGGTCGGGTTGGTTCGGATTTTACAATTATCAAACTAAATCAATTGTGTTGGGTTATTAAATCTAAAAACCAAACCAAACTAATAAAATTTGGGTTTTTCGCTCTCGGTTTCTCCGGTTTTCGGGTTATTTGGGGTTTTTTCGGTTCCGGTAAAATCTTCGTAGAACAAAACATATAAATTGTACTCAAAATATTTCTTTAATCATAGTAAGATACAACTATATAAAGTATTTTCCAAGAAAATAATACAAAATAAGAAAAAGTTCTATTTTGTCTTAGAATATATGAGTATTAGCTTATTTGGCGTGTATACAGTTCTTTTCCTTTTTCTTTTATGGCGTATAAAAAATTGCAATTCTGTGGAACCCGTATCTTTTCGCTCTTTATCAAGTATCTCAAGTGCAAGTTAATTTTGGGCATCAAAATGCAATTTCTTTTTGTTGTTCGAAAAAATCCTTAAAGCACAATTGGAAAAAGCTTATACTATTATATTTGTGTTATAATTAATACTCTTCCGTTCACTTTTAATTGTTATGTTTTGACTTTTTACGCCACTTAAGAAATAATAAATAAAGTGCATAATTTATCATGATAGTCATATTAATTGATGCATATTTTATTGGATTTGAGAAAATGATTTGAAATGAGTAATAAATAATGTGGGTATAACATGAATTTTTTTTTATTTTTTTCTTGATATACGTAAAATGACAAGTAAAAATGAAAAATTTATTTTTAGTATACCTAAAACTTAAAAAGATAAAAGAGTATAAATAACATGTTACACAGCTCTTTGTGAAAGCGAACAACCTTCTTATGATTGATTTATTCTGACTGACGGTTCTTCTTTTTCTATTTCTTTTTCTCCGATCCAACTGACGGATTTATAAAAATGTTTTACTATTATCATGACCAACGGTTGCTCTTCTTTTTATAACTTTTAATAGTTTCAATCTCATACAAGATCATACTCTCTTCTATCTATCTATACTTCAGAAAAAAAGAATCATGCAAAGTTTCCATCAAATTTTGCTGCTTTTATGAAAATTGATCAGAAATAACAGCAATTATACGGGTGAAAATGGCGGGGGCCAATGTGGATATTATCAGATCATTGAGCCAAAACTTTAATGAAACGAGCAAAGCGAGATTGCTGCACAATGGTTCAGAGTATGGATTGGATGCTTCATTTTACATTGAAAATGAAGGATTTTGGCGTCGATTAAGCAATCGAATTAATGAATTTTGCAGTAATGTTAAACAAGGTTCATTCAAGGCAATTGAGATGGGTCGTAAGGATCCAAGGAAAGTCATTTTCGCTGCTAAGATGGGTTCAGCACTTTCCCTCGTTTCGGTTCTCATTTTCTTTAAAGAACCTCTATCCTATATTGGTACATACTCCATTTGGGCCATCCTCACCGTTGTTGTTGTATTCGAGTTCAGCATAGGTATGTTAAAATTTTGTGAATATTCAAATTATTATTTGAATGGAATGGGCTTGAATAGTGCATATTGCTGAATGCTTAAGAGAAATCTTACAGTCGATCCTAGTTAGTTTGGTATTAAGGCGTAGTTGATTGAATTCAGCATAGGTATGTTAATGCGGTCGTGTTCAAGTAATTTAATATTGGACTGCAACAAGCACAAATAGAGCTAAATGATTAGATGATGATTCATATGGCCAACCCTAACAACTTCGGATTGAGATGTAGTTGATTGAGGTCGAGATAAATATGTTAAATATGGTTGTGTTCAATTATTTAGTTATTGGTGTGAAATGAGCATGAGTAGAACAGAATGGTTAAGGGGATTTATGCCGATTTAGCATAGGCATGTTATATGTTGTCGTATTCGAATTATTTAGTGTTGGAATGAAATTGGTCCCGATAGAGTGGAATACATATGGAGTCACACAGATAATTCCAAGTGTTTTGGGATTGAGACAAAATTGATGTGGCCCTTTAACTGTTCATTGTTCTCTTACATTTATCCATTTTGACAAGTAACAGTTATCCATTTCTTTTGGTGGATATTCCTGCCTGATATCCACAATCTAATTGATATATACAAATGCTAGGTGCGACACTTAACAAAGGATTCAACAGGGCTTTGGGGACATTGTCTGCTGCAGGGCTAGCTTTGGGCATTGCCGAATTATCTGTTATGGCTGGAAAATGGCAAGAGGTTGTGATTGTCATCAGCATTTTTATTGCAGGTCTGGTTTGAATTCTAATATTTTACATCAAGAATATCCTTCAAATCTTACTATTGCCTTATTCATGATGTGGACATTGGGTACAGTTTCATTTGTGAATGAGCATGAACTTCTTTCATCCCATTTTATCTGCTTCCCCTTACTTGCAAGACTAGTTTAAGGAGTAACTTAGCAGTTGAAATGTCAAACTATTCAATAGCAATTTAAGAGAATAGGTCACGGGTTCGAGCCGTGGAAACGTCTTGCAGAAATGCACGGTAAGACTGCATATAATAAACCCTTCTGGTCCTTTCCCGAACCCCGCGCATAGCGTGCACTGGGCTGCCCTTTTTAGATGTCAAAATGTACTGATAGCTGTCTTGTATTTGGGTTAGACGAAAAGATGAGCTCCGACACCTGTTTCCTTTGAAACCCCCTTTGATCAATTCTGTAATTCCGAGTAAATGATTACTTAATTCACACTCTCTCTTAATAGTGTTTCTGATTAGGCTGGTAGATGGAGTCACCGAGGGGGCAAAAATTGGGAAAAAACCATTTTTCGCCTGGCGAGGAGGGAGGGGTTGATGGATAGGGTATAGAAAAAGTTAACAAATCCCCTAAAACGAAAAAAAGAGGAAGAAGAAAGGGAAACAACGGCTTTTTGTGAAACTCTTCCTTTTTAAAATCTAGTATTGTACAAATCTGAAAAGGTTTTATTTAGATTCTTAATTTTAAAGGGCTTTTCTCCTAAAAGTGTAAAATAGTACTTAGGCTAGAAGGATTGTGGAAATGTTGGTTATTAGGAGGAAAAAACAGCACGAGTAGAAGTAAATAGAGGAACTTCTTGCTGCTGGGAGTCAAAACGTTGAGAGTAGACTAGAAAGGAAAAGGAAGTAGAGAAGTCTAGATTCAGATACAATCTTCTATAACCTCTTTTATTAAGACTACATAACGTACCAGAAGCACCAACAAGAATTACCATCTATATCTTTTCTAATGCATAAGCATTATGTGGACAATACTAATCAAAACAGAAAAGAAGAAGCAGCATAAACTGTAAAATTGAAGGAAGGGTTTTACCTGGTTGCTACATGGACAAAATCAATTAAAAGAATTACTGCATAAGTTTGAGACTAATGCGTATCTGATATTATATTCTTTTGCCTTTCACTTCCTCTGTAAAGTAACATCTCTTTTCTCCTGTTATGCTTGGTGAAACATGCATGGCTGGGCATCTGACTTGTGTGCAGCTCTAATCTTATTATTTTCTCTTTTGATTCAGGATTTTGTGCAACTTATTTGAAATTGTATCCTGCAATGAAGCAATATGAATATGGATTTCGAGTGTTCTTGTTGACATATTGTATTGTGCTGGTATCGGGAACTTCACATTTTTTTCAAGCAGCTGTTTCCCGATTGTTGCTAATTGGGGTTGGTGCTGGCGTCTGTTTACTTATAAACGTTGGCCTCTTCCCCATTTGGGCTGGTGAAGATTTGCACAAATTGGTGGTAAAGAATTTTAAGGGCGTTGCTACTTCTTTGGAAGGTGAGGATTTCCTCTATTCTTATCTTCAATTTGTCGTGGAACATGCTCTTTCCAGGCTATGCTGAACTAAATCCAGTGACACGTCTTGTTAGGTTGTGTCAATAGCTATCTGCAATGTCTTGAATATGATAGGATACCGTCAAA